TACTGGTTGACAGATTCACGAGGTGTGAGACACAGCTGACAGATTGCCAGGAAAGAGAGATACTCTGTCTGCGTAAGCAGAGAACTGATGAATAAAAAGATGAATTAGCACCATCTGGGTTGAGATTTCCCACCAGGAATAAATGCATATTAAAACAAAAGATAACTGATCATTTATAGTTTTCCCTCTTGTGAGCATCGTTTTAGAACATTTTACTGAATTGGCATTTTGGTTTTACCCTCAACTGCTTGTTTTTTAAAGCTTGTCCAGTTTCTAATTTCTAAAAAGAAAATGTATAGGAACATACATTAGTGAAGTTTCTGTTTGTGTTTTGCTTTAATTTGGTAGGAGAGTAGGAGAGTAGAGCTCTCTGTGTAGCTGACAATAGCTGAGAGAGGAGATGAATGACCTGACTTCAAATGAACCTAACCCAAAGGCAAGGTGCTTTCATGACTAGAGGCTGATAACTGCTAAGCATTTTCCAATAACTTGTAAGTCATTTAAAATTTATGAACAGCTCTATGGAAATTTGTCGTTATGTTAATAGGCATCAACCCTCAGCTAAAATTAGCTCTTGCTAACTGAAAGAGTCTCCTGATTGGCCTAAAAATGGCTGTCATTAAACAAACTGGAGTATATCAATAACTTTTTTGGGGGGAGAGGGGGCGGGTCTGGTTGTGGGGCCTGAACTCTGGGCCTGGGCGCTGTCCTTCAGCTTTTCAGCTCAAGGCTAGCACTCTACCACTTGAGCCACAGCGCCACTTCCGGCTTTTTTCTTTTTGCTTATGTGGTGCTGAGGAATCGAACCCAGGGCCTCAGGCACACAAGGCAAGCGCTCTACCACTGAGCCACCTTCCCAGCCCTTCAATAACTTTTGTTTGGTGTTGGTCAGCTAATAATTTGTTCCTTCATGCAAGACACATCTGTGGACTTACTTGCCAGGAATTCATTCTTTCAGCAAGTATTCTGTCTTCAGTGTCTGTCTTCAGTGTCCAGCACACCACACCACAGTGGGAGGGGATACCTGTGAGGCTGTCCTCAGAGCTGAAGAGTTTAGAGTGGAAGTGGGTTTGCTAGATGAAAGGATGCTTTTATGGCCTGGCTTTATTAAAGCTTATACAAGAGCAAGCCAGTCCCAGCCCTCTGGGGTGCACAGCCTAGTCAGAGGACAGATACATCAAAGAAAGCATTCTAAACCATATCATAAGGTGCAGAGCAGGGAAGCCAGCATGAAGGTGAACTGTGTGTGCTAATGACTGCCCTCTGCTCCTGCAGCATGGACAAGGACAGCCCAGATGTCCACCAGGACCTGAATGCCCTAAAAACCAAGTTTCAGGAGATGCGGAAGCTCATCAGCACCATGCCTGGCATCCACCTGAGCCCTGAGCAGCAGCAGCAGCAGCTGCACAGTCTCCGAGAGCAAGTCAGGACCAAGAATGAACTGCTACAGAAGTACAAGAGCCTCTGCATGTTTGAGATCCCCAAAGAATAGAGGGAGGCCATCTTCCAGGAATGCCCAAGATGCAGGAGGCAAATGGTCTGCCCTGCACACTCCCTCGGTGTGTAGCAGCTAAGGACCACAGCTCCAAACCAGATAGCCGAGTGGGGCTTGTGGAGAGCCTCGGAGCTGAAATTAGCCTTGTCTGTGTAGAGCACCCACCTCGAGCTTGTACTTATCCATATGTCTGCTGCTGGAATGAGAATGTTCCTGAGGCTGTGGGGAGGGGGACTGCTAGAGAGGGGCCACCTGCTGTGCCTGGGCCCTACTGGCAGATCAGAAGAACACAGTAGGAGTGGAGGCTGCTCCCTCTTCCTGACGCAGCTCCTCCTACCCTGATAAGATCCATGTGCTAGGTACATATTGTTCCCCAAGCAGCAATTTCATGAATATTTGCATAGAATTCACTGGGTGAATTAGGCCTGCACTCATATGGCACAGATTTAATTTGATTAAAGAAGCCTGTGAGAGAATGAACATTGTTTCGAAAAAAAAAACAGAGGGTGGGTGGATTTTTTTCCCCCTCAAATAGTATGGTTCCATTTATGTTTGAGCCAATGAATGGAACTGTATCCGTGGGGGTGTCAGCCCAGAGTTCCACTACTCAGCCACTGACTCCAGGCTCTATCCTTCTACATTTGACTCTTGCTTCCTTTGCCTCCCCCACCCCCCTCACCCCCCATTACCTCTGGTTAGTGCCCAACAATAGCCAAACCACTACACCTGCAGCACTTCTCTGGCATGTAGAGGACTCACCCTTCTTAAACAGGCTCAGGGAGTCTTTTAGTCAGGCAGCTTGCTCTGTTGTTTACACTGGCCTAGCTTAAACCATTATCTCTCCTCTAGTCTGCCCACGAGAGCCAGCCACATTTGCTGCCCTGTAAACAAATGGATGGCTGAAAGTGGCAGTGGGATCGTCCCACAGCCAGCAATGACTGGATGCTTCTGGAACTGTTCTGAAGAGTTAGATGGGTTAGGCCTGGAGGTTCTGGCCAGGGCTCAGCCCCATTAGTGTCCAGGTAGGCCTATGACTGTCAGACTGAGGAGAGAGAGCAGTTCTTTCCCTGCAAGGTGAGAAGTAACCGAATAGTGCTTGGATTTAGAAATGGGCACAAGCCCTGTGCTGACCACCAGTTCGGGGCTTAGCAGGTGCCTGTCACTGACCTTGTTGGCAGGAGTGCTGGCTGGAGATGTTTTTAGGAGTTCCAGTGGCATTAGCCTATAGCCCACTGTCAGAAGGTGGCTGGGACATTGGGACTGGAGTCTGTCTGTGTGTGTTGGGGCTGGGGGGAGGGTTGTGGGTAGGAAATATCAGGTTTCAGTGGCTTTAGCCAGAACAAACTCGATTTAGACAGTACTACAGCTCTACATTGGGACTATTACTTAACTGAATCAGTTATTTGAAATTTCATTCAGAGTAAGTGGGTGGGCCAGTTGTAAGGCTCAGACCAAATACCATGAAGCACATAGAGGTACAAGAACTTCAGGATCATTTCTGCAAGGCCGGAATGAGAAGTGTTCCTCACAGGACTAGAGGGAGAGGCAGCCTTCCAATATTCTCATGTCTTCACTTGTGACATTTTTTAAAAATGTATAATTAAAAGAACTTAGGTTCTGCTCTCAGGACACTGTGGTTTTTCTCTTTATTTTTGCAATGATGAGAATTGAACCCACAGGATCATGGTTTGTATCCTAAAGAATTCACAATGGGATAGCCCTTGGATAAATTAGAAAAAAAAAATTTATTTAGACACATCCTTTCTTCCCTTTTCCCAGCACATGTCCCTAGTTAAGCCAGTATAAAAGCAATTATAAAAGTAATTATTCTATTACTCTGATAGCAATAGCATCTGTCCCATGGGTGCTGTTAGCCTGGTGGGTGGTGCCTGCATCTGCCTATGGAAGGTGTGGGTCATCCCTTGTATATGGGGACAGGTGCCTTGGATGATTTTTTTTTTGGGGGGGGGAGTCCAGCCCTGGCAAGGGATAGCCTTCTCCAGAGCAGCATTGAGTGTTCCTCACAGTGAGCAGATAATTGAAGCCACCAATTATTTGGCTCACTGGGCAGCAGACACTTGTGCTAAGTACTTTTCAAACATTGCACTTAATCCCCACAGCAGCCCATGCAGAGGGTGTTCTCTGTACTACTCAAGTGAAGTATTGGACCTTGGTAGTGCCCTTGCCCTAGGTTTGCTATGAGGAATGGCAGGGAGAATGAGTCACAAGCAGGTACCCTGAGCCACTAGAGACAACAAGGTGCAGAGCAGTTTTGGAGCCACTCACTGGGGTAGAAGGTGGAGAACTTGGGGGTTTTACTTGGAGCCAGGGGCCAAGATGCTAATACCAGCCTGCTCCCAGATGCCTCTCTCAGGCTCAGTGTCCTATCTGTGGCATCTGGGCCTGTGTGACATGTGAAACAATCTGAGTTCCAAATATCTTTTTTGGGGGGTGGGTGGGTGGGTCTGGTTGTGGGGCCTGAACTCTGGGCCTGGGCGCTGTCCCTCAGCTCTTCAGCTCAAGGCTAGCACTCTACCACTTGAGCCACAGCGCCACTTCCGGCTTTTTTCTTTTTGCCTATGTGGTGCTGAGGAATCGAACACAGGGCCTCATGCATGCAAGGCAAGCGCTCTACCACTGAGCCACCTTCCCAACCCCCTAAATCTCTTATGTAGCCTGCCCAGAGTTTAATGATAAATTGGCTCTGAAAAGAGGAAATAAAAATATCCTTCCAGAAAATGAGGCTCTTGATAGGTCGAAAGACTAGGCAGGTGGATTACCTGGAAGGATCTCCAAGGAAGTCCTTGAAGTCTTGCATGCATGGTCTTCTAGAAGCCTGATCACCTGGGTCTGCTTAGAGCTGTTTCTCTCATGCATCCTCAAGTGATTTCCAAAAGGGGATGATAGTGTTACTTTCTAGTTCTTCAGGGCCATAGATGCAGACCCTACTACTTGAGCCACAGCTCCACTTCCAGTTTTCTGGTGGGTAAGTGGAACTAAGAGTCTCACGGACTTTTTCCTATTGGGGCTGGATTCAATCCTCAGATTTCAGCCTCCTGAGTAGCTAGGATTGTAGGTGTGAGCCACCAGTGACCAGGCTCTCCCACATTTTATTATTTTTGTGTTTGTTTTTGGGTCGGGTCGTGAGGCTTGAACTCTGGGCGTTGTCCCTCAGCTCTTCAGCCCAAGGCTAGCATTCTACCACTTGAGCCACAGTGCCACTTCCAGCTTTTTTTTCTGATTATGTGGTGCTGAGGAATCGAACCCAGGGCCTCAGGCATGCAAGGCAAGCGCTCTACCACTGAGCCACCTTCCCAGCCTCTCCCACATTTTAAAATTAGCACCACTTGTTTGTACTCTGGGTTTCATTTTAACAAACCCTTATATGCCTACAGTGTACCTTCATTGAACTCCCCTGTCCATCTCTTGCCCGCATCCCTTTCCCCTACCCAAAACCGTGCCAGCCATTTCTAAAAGCAAGACAAAGCCAAGTTTTCCATTTTAAATTATTTTATTTTATAATAAAAAAACAACAATAACGTTAAAGACCTCACACAGTAGAAACACCTGGAGATTTTGTTCGTGTCCATGTGACACCAGAACTACTAGTAAAGTGCAAGTTTTGTTTTTCCTTTGTGCGACTCCACACACATGTAAACAATTCACTTCGTTATGATTGGACCCACACCCAGCCGGTGTCCCGAGGGCAGAGGCGGCTTCCAGCTTGTCCTGACAACGCCCATCACACACACGCTAATGCCTGTAGGTCCTGACCCTCAGGTGGGCACAGGGCCGCTACTTGAAGCCTCATACATGGCTGATGAACCCCACACCCCTCCCTCCCCACTCATGCTCAGGTCTCTGAGGGGAAAAGTCAATGTCCCTCTCTGTGGGGCCCCCGGGGCCCCCACGCCGTCGCCGGGGTGTGGACACTAATGGAGAGGCTCAAAGTGGAGAAGTCCCAGTCTCAGCTAGTACTCGTTTCCTTCCACAACAGATGACCGTCCCTTCTCGGTTCGGAGGCGCCTCCCCAGCGCTCGGGACCCGGGTGGCAGGGGAGGAAGACGCCAGTCGGCTTGCGCTAGCGGGGGCCCGGAATGCACGGGGCTGACCAGGGCGTCGGATTTGACTTTTAAACAAAAAAGGTCCTCCTTGGATCGAGTCGTGGGGTGCAGCAGGGGGCTCCTAGCTGATGACGCAGCGCTCCTTGTCTTTGGTCTGGCCGCCGCCGCTGGCCTTCTCGCGGATGTACATGAGGTCGCTGTGCACGCTGGGTCTGCGCGCGAAGGGGGCCACGATGCCGAAGGCGTCTCCGGTGTCGCCGCCGCCGCTGCCCGCCCGCAGCAGCTTCTTGTTCCGCAGGGCTTTCTTGTGCAGCACGTCGCAGTACTGCACCGACACCTTGCGGTGCAGGTCCGGGCTCATCTCGCTCGGCAGCTTAGCCATGGCGAAGAGCGCGCGGAACATCTGGTCCAGGCTGCTGTTCTTCTTCGCCGAGATCTCGAAGTAGGCGCAGCGCTGGGGGTCGTCGCCCACCAGCTGCTCGATCTCGCGCTGCTCCACCTCGCGGTAGAAGTCCCGGTCCCCTTTGTTCCCGCAGATGACCAGCGGCACGTCCACGTTCTCTTTGGTTTTGTTCTTGAGGCACGACTTGGTGTCCAGGATCTGCTGTTTGAGTCTCTGCACCTCCTCGAAGGAGTCGCGGTTATCCAGGCTGAACACCAGGATGAAAACGTCTCCTACAGAGGGACAAGAGGGCAGGGGAAGATAGTGAGCGCGCTGCCCAGGGGTGGGGAGCACACCAACCCTTCTCTCTCCTTCCCCTCACCCCTTCCCCCGGCCCGCCAAAGTCCTCCGACTTCTCTCACCTGTGAGGATGGACAGACGCCGCATGGCGGGGAACGGGTGGTTGCCGGACGTGTCCAGGATGTCCAGCTGGTAGACCTCGCCGCGGATGGAGTAGAACTTGCGGTGGAAGTCCTCGATGGTGGGCGTGTAGGTGTCCTCGAAGCGGCCCGTGAGGAAGCGCGACACGATGGCCGTCTTGCCCACCTTGGACGAGCCGAGGATGACCATGCGGTAGCAGTTCTTAGCCGGGATACTCAGTTCGGAGTCGCTCGGACACATCTTCTTGATCATCGCGGCCAGTTTCATTGGGCAGAGGGGCCACAGGGGCGGAGGCGGGCCGAGAGAAGCGCAGAGGGCGGCCCGGCGCGCGGGAGCGGCGGGGTCGGCGAGCGGCCGGAGGGTTCTGCTCAGGCCCGGCTGAGTGAGCTCCGGTTGGGCTCCGGCTGGGGCTGGGGGTTCGGGGCTCGAGCTCAAGCTTAGGGCGGGTGTCTCCAAGTTTTCGGGCTCAGTTAGCTCGCTCTGACTCCCGGCGTCCAGCCACCGCTTATATGCTGCCGGCGTGGCCGCCCCGCCCCGCCCGCCCGGGCCCTCCCCGCGGGCTCCGCCCCGCGCCGCGCCGCGCCCTCCCAGCCTCAGTGCGTCACGCCCCGCGGGCGCCCTCCCTGCGCCCCGGCCCGCCGCGACCTCAGCCCGCCGCTGCGGCGGGAAGGAAACTTGAGCCCGTGGTGGTGCTGGACAGCCGCGGCCTCAGGGACCTGGGGAGGGGTGAGGAGGAGCGGTTGGCCTGGTCCTTGTTATGCCACTGACCCTCTAGCTTCGGGCCAGCACTCCGGGCCCTCGCCACACGCCCGCGCCCCCTACACTCTTGTGCCTCAGTTTCCCGCAGAAAGTAAGATCGTAATCCAGTAATAGGAGCGGCTGGGTGCCTGCGCGTAACTACCTCTTTCAGCCCCCCAGTGTCAACCTCCCTTCGGTGCCCAGGCCCGGCTGGTGGTCGGTCGGGGGTCCTTCGGGCCGTGGTGTCTGCGGGCTTCCTGCGCCGAGGTCCGTGCTGCCCGCTCAGGTCGCTAGAGGGCGGCAGAGAAACCCGCGGGCGGGTCGGCGGCGGGCGGGTCGCTGGGCTGGAACTGGAGGGGCAGGGGGCAGTATAGGTGGGGGTCCAAGGGGAGCCCAGCTGAGACCCCGCAGAAGCCGGCACCCCCTCCCGCACTCCACTGCAGACCTCGGCCTAATCCTTACTCGCAACCAGAGATGTTCTGTGGCCTCGGGGGAAAGGAGAGCCCTGTCCTTCTCAAGAAAGCCCAGAGTTGTGCTCTGGTTTAAGGACGGAGGCCAGCGTCCCTGCCGCCCTCATCCCACAGCATTTTGGACCTTTAGTGTCCCATGGGTGAAGTTTTCATTTCATTATTGAGGAAGATAGGGCTGGAAGCCTCAGAGGAGGCCTGGGAGCACTCGTGCCTTCTCCGGGCCACAGTTTCCCCGCAGGAAGATAGTGATTATGGTCCTGTGATTGTACAAACCACTTAGGATGACAAGGCCTGATCAAAACAATAACCATGCGTAGTAAATGACCTGTGAGGGCTGGGAGGAGGAGAAGGAGGAGGAGAAGGAGAAGGAGGCTGGGGGAAAGTTGATCAGTAACTAGGAGCCAGCCACAATGGGGCAAAAGGCACAGATATAGTCTGTCCGTGGCTAATTCACTGCAGCCCCAACTAGCAAGGGAGTCCTTGCCAGTGGTGGCAGAGCCTCACACCTTACTTTGGTCTCTTTTGATTTAGGAGCAACATAGGGAGCCATTTGCTAAGTTTACTCCCCCATCCACACAGTCCTGGTACCTCATGGGCAGGGCAAGGGGCACCAGCTCTACTTGTCCAGCTGAACCCTTGGTCCTTTTCTTTTTTCATGTTTAATCTTTCTCCTTGAATTCATGATCTTCTGTAGGGCCCTATTTTAAGTCCATTCTAGGTAAGACCCTTGAGGCAGTCTGATTGATGGCAAGGAGGTGGTACTGTGTTCTACAGAGGAACGGAGGCACAGAGCAGTGACCTGCAAGGGTCCCATAATTAGGAACTAGATGTGGGGCTTGAGCCCTTAACCTCCAGTTCTGCCTCTGCCTGTGCCTGTGCCCCTGTACTCCCCCTCACCCCTCACACACTGGTACCAGGTATAGAGGCCACTGTGGGATGTCCAGCCCCTCTCTCAAGCTGGGTTCCACTCCTCAGAGCATCTGGCTTCTTTCTACTTCTCTGCCAGCCTTGCTTTTGCTGGCAGACATTTTAAATATATGTGTCACAGAGTGGACACCTAAGGCCACATCAGCTGGATCTAGGATCTGTCCAGGTCCAGACTCAGCTCTGGTCCTAGTATAATTTATGCAGAAGTTATCTTCAGCACTGGTGGCTCATGCCTGTAATCCTAGCTACTTAGGAGGCTGATATTTGAGGGTTGCAGTTCAAAGCCAGCCAGGGCAAGAAAGTCCATGAGTCTTATCTCCAATTAACCACCAGAGAAACAGAAGTGGCACTGTGGCTCAAATGGTAGAGCACTAGCCTTGAGCTGAAGAGCTCAGGGACAGTGCCCAGGCCCAGAGTTCAGGCCCCACTACTGACAAAAAAAAGTTATCTTCTGGGGGGGGGGATTGGGGTGGGGCGAGGGGAGGCTAGGAAGTGATGTGAAGGGTAAACCAAGGAGGAGGCTGCAATGCTTGATAAGAAATGTACTCATTATCTTGCCCATGTAATTGTAACCCCTCTGTACAGTATGTTCACAAAAAATTAAAATTAAAAAAAAAGAAAAAAAAAGTTATCTTCAAAGGTCCAGGTCTTCTCACCATCTTTGGTCCTTGCTCCCCCCTTTGTCTCCTTCCTGCACCTGGGGTGAGGGTCTGCCTTGATCTATGAGTGGCACAGGGTCTTCACTGTGGAAAGGGGTTGGTCAGTTGCCAGACTGAGGACTACTTCCTCTGCCTCCCACAAAGCACCCTGGAGACAGCTGGATCTCTGGGCTTAGGGTGAATTCTGAAAGCCACCTTTCAATGGGCTGGAGGGAAGATGGACACATGAGACCAGTCCTCTAAGTTTCCAGTCCTAGGAGAGTCCTTTTGATAAGACTAGAGATGCAAGCATGGCAGCGGAAGGTCAAGGATCAGGCCCAGAACTGCTCTGGCAATCCAGGGTAGCAGAGCCTCTCTCCTGACATCAAACCTCAGTCATTTCAGCCTGACAATGACCAGCTGGCCAGGTACAGGGTGGCCATGGTGTTTCCTGGTACCTTTGAGTAACTCGCTCACTGCACAGTGCTTCTCGAGTATTGAAGACCTCATCCTCTGAGCCACCCAGTTCATTCAGCCTGTCATGTAATCCCCATTCCAAATGCCTTCAGACACGTGCTACCCCATGTTTTGGCCCTGGCACCTCATCCCACAGCAGGTGGGACAATGTTTTTGTTAGCTTGAACACCTGTTTTGGCCCTCTTCTCTTGCCTCTCGTCTCTTCTTTTTGTGCTTAAATTCAGGGCCCAGGTGCTGTCTCTGAGCTTTTTCACTCAAAATGTCCTACCACTTGAGCCACGGCTCCTCTTCCAGCTTTTTCTGTACTTAATTGGCTGTCAGATTCTCATGGACTTTCCCAGGCTAGCTTTGAACTGTGATCCTCAGATCTCAGCCTCCTGAGTAGTTAGGATTACAGGTGTGAGCCACTGGCACCTGGACCTCCTTTTCTCTTTAAGGACTATTTCTTTTTTTTTTAAATCACAAATGTAATACATGTTTGTGTTTATGAAAATTAATTTTTTTCAGGAAGAATGAGAGAGCCTCTCTCATTCTGACCCCAGGACACTTGATCTGTCCCCCCTCCCCCTTACCAGCCTCCCATCAAGACAAAGAAAGTTTACCATCCACCCTCCCCCCAGCGCCGGCTGTTGATTTGTCTGCTTTTCCTTCTTCCAGGGTCTGCCTCTGACTTTAGCCCGGCTTGACTCATCAGAGTACTGGAGGTGGGAATAACCGGCCTGTCTGTCCCCACATACACTCTGGCCCCACACTGGGGAGCGGCCACCTACTTCTCATGTCTCATCGGCTACAGTGATGCTTTTACATTGTCCAGACTCATGACGGCTCATGTCATTACACAACTAATAACTGTTTCTCTCATGTTTGTAGAATGAGGCCATGAGCTACATTTGGAAGCTAGGATCCTGTCTGTAAATGTAATTTACTTGTAGTGCACCAGTTTTCCTGGTCAGAATGGAAGAACTGTGAACATCTGACCAAATGATGGAGGTAGGAGGAGTGGACAGCAGGCCCATATGCAGTTGTGTCAGCCCTACAGCCTGGCTTTAGGGCAAAAACACATTTAGAATGTTCTGGAAGCTGGATTTGAGAGGTCCATCAGGGATTTACCTGATGCCATGCTGAGCCAGAGTCCACATGGAAGCGTGTGGACACCTCTAATGACAGGTACACCCATGGGCTCAGGTACTATGTGCTGTTCACCAGGATCCAGTCCATGGCCACTTGCTGAGAAGAGGGGCTATACAGAGGGGCCAGTTCCATGTAGCCTCTTTAGGCTCCTCCATCAAGCTGAGGATAGTTTGGGAGCACCTGTGAGGTCTGCCTGGGTCACAGTGCCCTGAGCTGCACGGCCCTGTTCTGGCCATGGGAGAGGCTAGTGGAGGGAGGGAGCTCCCATTGCCTAGCAGCACGCAAGCAGAGAGAAACTAGAACACTGTCAGGAAGGCCAGATGCCTCCGGAGGCCATCAGGCCCTGAAGTAGATTCTAGATTTGAGAAACCTTAAGGAGCTCCCTGGGCAGCAGGGGCAGCCCTGCCCAAGCACCTGCTTTATGCACAGGGCAGGCAGGAGACTCAGATGGCCATTTTACAGATGGGGGTGCCAAGGCTCCCAGAGCTGGGTACAGTCTCCCAACGAGACCATAAGTAAGCTGACCTCAGAGGGTTCACAGTTTGAGAGGGAAGGCTGCAGCTAAGAGAAGGAAAACTCTGTCCCAGGGCTCTACAGGTGGCTTGGCCAGAAGACTCTAGAAGCCACTGTTGGGGGCAGTGTGGTAAGGATCTCCACAAGAAGCCCTCCTGGATATACTGGGAGCTACCACCCTCTTCTTCACACACTAACCCTGACTCTGTGTGTGTGTGTGTGTTAAAGGGACAGGAAGTAGGTATGAGGACAGACCTGATCCTAGAGCAGATGTTGTGCTCAGTCATTTGCCTGCTACCTGGGCCAGGTCACCTAGACATTGCTAGCAAAATGATGTAGACATCATGGGAAAAAAAGTCTACAGGGCACTCAATATGTCAAATACAGCCAGACAATTCCACTCCTAAGTATAGGTGCAAAAGAAATGAGAACCTAGGGCTGGGAAGGTGGCTCAGTGGTAGAGCGCTTGCCTTGCATGCCCGAGGCCCTGGGTTCGATTCCTCAGCACCACATAAGAAAAAAGCCGGAAGTGGTGCTGTAGCTCAAGTGGTAGAGCGCTAGCCT